TTGCTGCCGCGATCCCTTATCTAATTTCCTTCCCCAAACGGCTAAAAAAAAGTGAGCTATTTTTTTCTGTAACTGGGGTTTTTTGTTTACTTATGCTTATAAACGAATGAATTTTTGCTTACCGTAGTCAGTTATTCGCACCAGGACCCACGCGTACACAATGACGCACTGGGCGTAGCTCGTCCAAACGCTCCATTCTTCTGGTCTCATTCTCGTCCAGCCCCCTTTTCAACAATTTTTCGAAGCCTTTTTCGCTTCGGAAACACCTATCCACGTAGGTCCTTCGCCTCCATCGCACTATTTTCCATCTTATTTTCCATTTTTCGTCATTATCTGGGTTACCCAAAATTATTGTGAACTGTGCCTTTAATTTCCACTGTTATGTCGCTCGAGAAAGGGTGCTTCCTTCTCTTTTGCCAACCAAATGGATGCCTTCGTAGAGCATTAGATGAGAATGCACACTTCTAGCACAATCTGGTATTGTGACATAGTCACTCTTTACTATTGCTCCCAGTAACCAAATCTGAATTCGAAAATAGAAAGATAGCTTCCTGCCTCATAAGTCTCGCACTCATAAGGACCTGGCAATCGAATTCTACACAGGATTGTGAAGCCGTATTGAATGCGTATTTGGCTTCTATGACGAATTTGGCTAGCCGATGTGCAAGTCAGTGCTTTCATCCCCCAGAGAGCCCTGTACTGATTTACCAATCCCGGAGAAATGGAATTCTTGTTTTGCTCAGGCAGGTGTTGATCCGGGATCCAAACCGTCACTATGCGTGTTTGATAGAGCGCCATTTGCCTCCGACCAGGAAGAAATCTTGTTCACTGCTATTAATCCAATGAGAGAAGGATAAAGCTTATTTATGAAATCTAAAAATTGATGAATTTCTGTTGCTTAACACGATAAGGTGGGAGGGCGGTGTAGTAAAAGCGACGCACATTATCTCAGAGTTGGTTGGAGGTTCATCATGCATCAATATATGCCTAGACAACCGAGCCTTTTATCCCTCCGTGGTCGGTTAAGCTGTACAGTGTCACTTTCACCTGAGAGTACAAAGGCTTGCACATTGGATGGTCACTACAAGGCAACATGCGTGCTGAGAGGGTCACTACGAATGGGAGTGGAATGCATTCCAAAAAGGGATTGGTAACATCAAAAATCTTCATCTTTTAAACTTGAGCCATCATAAGATTCCCAGACATATGAACCGAGCATATCGATAAGCGAGTCTGCCCCAGAACACAGCTCAAAATTATTTCTCTTACACTATGGTCTTTCGAGATAAAAATTAAGCTGATTAATCTCACTGAGAACTGTGGACAAATTTGTTCCACTTTGTAAAGGTTGATTATCACCACAGTTAGTGATCTGAAAGTCACTCCTGGGGTTCCGAGTTATCTATGAACATCCAATCTCACACGATACTCGAACTTGCGCATTTCAAATACCATATTCTTGTTTATTGCATTAGCGAGACCCCCGCAGCTTCCCAAAAGTGAACTGGATAAGGGTTAAGGCCCAGAATTGCATAGTTAATGTTTTCGGCCTAGTCCAAGACCAAACCTTCTGCCCATAACTGGATAGCCTTCTTGTAACGGCTAAATTCTGGCCGCTTCTCGAAGGATGGTTGAATATTATCCACAGTCGCAATCACACTTCTGCAGTTAGACGAACGCCGAAGAAATAGTATAAAAAAACTTTTAGAGGAGATATTCTGAGAAAAAAACAGCTCTTTCGTCTCCTTTTTTCTGTGGTATCAAGTCATCGCTGTATAAGGGGGACGGTACGAACGTGCGTCCGAGGGTCCGCGCGGCAACTTGCGCGGCGAAGTTCGTAATGATTTGTACGACTCTGATGTCAATTTTCGGGGCATAAACTCAAAGTAGAGTAGTTTAG